ATATATATAATAAAAAATGTTTTTGTTTTTTTTAATTTTCTGAATCCTAAAACTTTACTTAAAAGTTATATTACATTTTTAATCACAGATGTTCAGTATGTCTCTGCCCCCACCCTTTGTAATTCCCCTTGATTAATATAAAACAATAACATTTTCTTGTCTTTTTTTAACAATGTTTTTTAGGCGGCTGTTACTCACCTGGTCATTAGAGGTCTCTTTGATGATGAAGAAATCTGAAACCTACTCCCCTCTGTTTTCACTCCCATCCTTCCTCAAATTCTGCAAGGGGTTACTGGCAAATTGTAAGTTAATATCCCTGTTGTTAATTCTGCATTGAGTTCTCAAAGGTGAAACAATGTTATAAACAGAATCATTCTCCAGATCAATAGGGGTTTTAACAAATAACGGGTTAGGATAATAAACTGGTGACCAAGTGAATGGACTTTTAACATGTTGGTTTTCCTCTATGCAGCCTTGAATGAAGACCCCACCATATGTCTGCAGGCATGTAACAGTCTACAGGTTCTGTCATCTTCCTTGACCACAGAGCTTCTCCAGAGGTAATCACACATCCTCTGCTTGTTAGACACTGTCTTCCTGTAGGCACATTCATTAGTGCTGCAACTCTTCCTCCTGCTTTTGGGGGCGGAGGTAAAAAAACATCATGTTTGATCGGCACTGATTCTGTCCCCTTTCTCTGTGCAGGTGTGTGGATGTGTGCCGAGTTCAGCTAGTCCACTCAGCAGTCCGAGTCCGGCAGGCCTTTGGGAAATTGCTGAGATCCATTCCCATGCACGTTGCATTGAGGTTCGCAAGACTCCTTTTCATCTGTCTTGAATTCATACAATAGAAACAAGAGGGGGAGAAATAATACCTACCTTGTAGTTTTACCTCCAGCTGTAGCTGATGTGATGGTAATTGTCGGCTTGTCTCCCAGCAGTGCCCATAGTCACTCTGAGATTAAGGAGATTTCTCTGGCCATCCGCCGACACATGAGCAAAGTGCCTAGCAACACATTCCACCCACAGGACTTCTCTGACCTCATTGGGTTTATTCTATATGGAACGGTCCACCGTGGGGGGTGAGTAGGTTTATTTCCTCTTCTCACCTTGGTGAGAACACATGGACAGATGTTTGTTCATTTAAATACATTTTATATTTGTTAGTGTAATTGATCAAACTCTGTACTGTAGAGAGATCTGCAGCTAAAATAAAAGCAGTTTGTGTGTGTGCTGGGAATCGTTATATTTGGTATTATTTATTAGATATTCATTGTTTCATACGCAGTAAGGAGCCCTGGTTGGAGCGGCTGTACCACAGCTGTCAGCGTCTGGAGAAGAAAGACTCTACCATGGTGCCTCGTGCCCTGCTGAAGACTGAGGCAGTGCTGTGGCAGTGGGCGGTGTGGGAGGCCGCTCAGTTCACCGTTCTCTCTAAACTCCGGACCCCTCTGGGACGAGCCCAGGATACATTCCAGACCATAGAGGGTTAGTGAGTTATCCCTTTAGGAATTAGGAGCTCATCTTAAAAAAATTCCAAGATTTATTAAAGGAATAATTAGCCTAATTGAGGTTTTGACACTATTCATTCACCTTTGTCATTCAAAATCTGTATGACTTTCATTTGTCATTCTAGACACTAATGCTGGGCGATATACCGGTTCAAACGGTAATCCGGTTTGAATTACACGCACTGTATACATTTTTTTTTTTTTTTTTTTTAAACTATTTTTTTTTTTTTTTTTAAACGCCGTACTTTTTTTTTTGTGTGTGTGGCTACGCAACCTGGACAGCGTCGTGAATTGAGAGGGGATCCCTGTTAACTGCATACATTTCTGACTAATGGTTGGAGAACTTTTGAGGGTGGGGTTTATGTGAATACATCTCTGAGGGGATGTCTTCAGAAAAAGGGATTTTCTTTAGATGGTTTAAATGGTATTTTCTTTTCATCTTACCTCTATATACATTGCATATTTATGTAGTATTTAAAAGCTCACCGCTGCTTTGTTTACATTGGTAACCAAGAAAACGCTCAATCTCTGCTGTTCCTTAAGCACCACCTGCTGTCAGAGAGTGAATTTGTCTCATTCAGCCCATCTGCTGTTTTTATTTCGTTCAGATCTGTTTTATGTTGCATAATTTCACAAAGTTGTGGTCGGACTGTTCTGTTTTTGCTTCAAATTTTGAAATTATACAATCTAATTTACATCAAAAATTGCTCATGCTATATGTAGCATGTTTGTTTGGATCATGATTAAAATGCATTGGTTCTGAAACTGCATTACGATTCGTATAAAGGCACATTCAGGGAAAAAACTCGATAAAACTTGAAAACGTCAGAATCCTAAAATAAACGTGATACCGATTTTTGGTCAAACTGCCCAGCACTACTAGACACTTGTGAATAAATTAAGACTGCTGGGGTGCGTTTCCCAAAAGCATAATTGGCCAGCTATGGTGGCAAATTTCATTGAACTCTATTGGTAATGATGGAACTTGCAACCATAGTTGCTTTTGGGAAATGCATCACAGTATTCTGCAACATTATAAGTGTTTTCACTGTCACTTTTAATAAATTGAATGCATCCTTGCTGAATAAAAGTATTAATTTCACAATTTACTGACCCCAAACTTTTGAGCGGTGTTGTGTCATGCGTTTATGAATCAATATTTTATCCCTGTGCCTGGTGTAGGTATGATCCGCAGCCTGGCGGCTCACAGTCTGAACACAGAGCAGGAGTTGAGTCAGTGGAGTGGAGGAGAAAGTGATGAGGGTCACCACACCAATCAGCTCCGCCTAGCTCTGCTTCTACAGTTCCTAGAAAACCTGGAGAAACTCATGTACAATGCTTATGAAGGCTGTGCTAGCGCTCTCACTGCACCACCTAAGGTCTGTCCTCCGTATATACACAACCTTCACGTTAACACTATGAAGTGCTAGCTTTATCCTTCCAAGGACTATTAATGGGGTTACCATTGACATTCCATGTTTTCATCTTTAGCTTTAGTTTTTAACTCTCTTTACTCCTGTATTTAGGGCATCAGAACATTTTTCTACACAAACAGACAGACGTGCCAGGACTGGCTAACCAGAATTCGTTTGGCACTGATGAGAGTGGGCCTTCTCTCAGGTCAGCCGGCAGTCACGGTCCGTCATGGCTTTGACCTGCTCACTGAGATAAAGAACAGCAGTGCACAGGTAAGACTTGAAAGAAATAGTTCACTCAAAAATTAAATTCTGTCATTAATTACTCACCCTCATGTCGCTTTAAACCCGTAAGACCTTCGTTCATCTTCGGAACACAAATTAGATATTTTTGATGAAATCCGAGAGCTTTCTGACCCTGCATAGACAGCAACACAACTGACATGTTCAAGGCCCAGAAACGTAGTAAGGACATCGTTAAAATAGTCCATGTGACATCAGTGGTTCAACAGTAATGTTATGAAGCTACGAGAATAATATTTGTGCGCAAAGAAAACAAAAATAACGACTTTATTCAAC